TGTATCGCCAAAAAGCACCAAATGCACCAAATGGTAAAAAGGCAAACATTGTAAATCAAAACAAACAAATGTTTTAGGTTTAGAGGAGCAAACTTGGTTAGGTTAAGGAAAATATCATACTTTAGGTCAAAACAAGATTGTTATATAATTGAAGTCACCTTTGGAGGTCCAACTCACCAATAGATGATAACGGCCTGCTAAACCACTTCAAAGCTATGCTAACAACGACAACTGATAAAGGTAATTTAACCAGCTAAAACATTTGTTTACCATTTTTTAATATTTGTAATAAATAAATCGGTTTCTAGCTCTAACAAAACTTGAAAATCCAGTTTATCCACTGGGTTAAGACTTATTATACTTGTTGGCGTGGTAAAGGTAAACGCCAACCCCCGGTTACCATCTCAAATTAATTTGGTCGTCATGACGACCTGCATTTCATCAAAATGCTAAAGAGGATTTATATTTTGATCTGATCCTAGAAGAGACTCCCATTCTGAAATGAGCCCTCATAGATAAAGGGAAGATTCAAGTTACATCATGATTACAAATATATGCCGATTGCAAAGCCACTGACTATGGTGAAATAATAAGTTACAATTTACTTAAAGTATGAAAGGTATAATAATTGAATGCAGAAATATGTCCCCTGCTACTGTTAAAGTATTATTTATCTTTTTAAAGTGTCGATTTTCAATAGCTGTGACCATGTTTGCAAATCAATTCACACATGCATACACTTCCAACAAGTGTACAACAATCATGTGTCCGAAGTGTATAAGGAATTTCAAAGATTGCAAGGATGTTTCCAACAAGAGTGTATGACAAACCGGTTCATTAGTTTGGACATGGTGGAATCCGTTTGCAAGGTTTGCCCCTAATTATTATTATTAGGCCACTCTCACTGTCACACCCCTGTGTCCAGCCTTGGAATGAACACAAACACTCCTTCACAACCACACACTTGACCTTAGATTCACAATATGGCTACCAAAGGGTGGTTAAGTATTTGTGCACCACCTCATTTTATTTGAATGACCTGTAGTTTAATTGAGTACTTTGAGCAAGCAGCCCTTTTTCTCCTTTTTTTTAAATAAACAAAGTCAAAGTCAAATTTAAAGTGGACCTATCATGCTATATTATAATAATATAGTGTAGGACCATACCTATAAGGCATATTTATACTTTATTTTTTTCAAAATACCAAACAGACCATGCATTTTAGCCATGCCTCATTTCGCTCAATGTGCACTATTTTACCCCTGTTTTTGCAAGGGCTGATTCTGTGAGAACAGCACCACCTACAGGCCTGGCATATGTACTACAGCGTCTCCAGCGCTTTCGAACGGCAATGGCCGTGGCTGTCTCCTCCTGATTGGTGGAGTTGGCCCAATAGCCGTAGCGCCACTTTCCTGACGTCAGGACAGTGTTCAAATCTGGATCCGTTTTTATCAGATCCGTTGCAGCCCCTTTTTTAGAGATTTGGGTATGGAGGAAAATAGAGAGGGTTGTGTTTTCTGACACTTGGTGAGTTCCCTGGAACACCGGGGACACATATTCATGTATAAAAGATGTACAAAAGTGCATTTTGCATGATAGGTCCCCTTGTAAATCTTTCAGTTTGTGTGTACAGACAGAGAGATCGAAATAACGTTTCCAACAATCCCGAATACAAAAATACAATAATACAAATATACAAATATGTATAAAATATGTATATCCTATATATATACAATCAACAGACACATTAAGATAAAACACAACAATCAATATATACAAAATAACAGTCACTTCAATATAAACCCTCACTAAGCAGTGAAAGAGCCTCCTGAAAGAGAGAATGTGGGACAAAAAAACACCAAATAAAAATAAATATTACCCCATACACTTATACACACACCAATATGCTTGTATTGTTATTTGTCTGCTGTCGCTAGGAGCTGGTTTATATGTTGCCCCCCATGAGGCTGGCGTACAGACAGAACAGAGGGCAGGTACACTGACTGCAGAGTAAGGAATGTGTCTTCGTCATTGCGTTGTGCCCTGACCTCACCTCCGTGTGAAAGTCTGTTTGAAGAGCACACCAGACATTCTGAACAAACAAGTATGTCTACCAGTTACTCCTGAAAGACAGAAGAAAAAAGGTCTTTATATATAGAATAACTGAGATGTTAAATACGTTTCCTAAAAAAACTGTAACATATATATATATATATGTTTTATCATATCTTTTTTGGAGCATATCTCTTCCAAAAGAAGAACATTACAAAGCAAATAAAATAATTAAAATAATAAAAAAATTGCAAATGTCATTTAAATGCTTTCTCATTTGACGAAGATTGGAAACAAATGTAAAGCATTGTTAAAAAACCGCTGTCCTATCTGCCTCTCCAACTGTTTTATCTCATGACAGCTCAATCATTTTCAGATTTACTATGTGCTCAGATCCCTGAAATATGGAAAATGGTTTAAAATGTGAAGAGGCAAGTCCAACTGTGCAGCACAAAGCACATATATTTTGTAAGACTGAAATGAATAAGAAAAAACACAAGATTGATGTGTGTTTAATTTCTGATAAAATGGTGAATGGATTGGTGATTTGGACAAAAAAATATATATAAAGAAACACCATCTGCTAAGGACGATTTGACAGTAAGGCCACACGTTCACAGTAAGTGCTCAAACAAAACATCTGGAACAAATGTATCAAAAAGATTGTTTCCAGTACAATAGCCAGTTTAAAAACAACCTAAGTCGGCACGTTTAAAATCTATCTCCGGTACATCCAATCCTATTTACAATGTTACAGAAATCAGGAATATTGCGTTGTAGCTGCATGGGGTGCAGCAAGAGGAGAACTCCTACACCGCTTCAACCACTAGCCTGTCTACGGCCCGGGGGAATACAAATGATTCCTAGAAAAATAGCAATACCACAAAAATAAAGTCCATCATTTTGAAATATATCTCAAGGCCTGTTTGTTCTATAGTGCCATTTGCAACTTTGTAATGACCATTACAATGCAGTATTTAATAAGCAACTTGAAAAGCTGTGTTGGCAATTGTTTGATCATACTGGATTAATAGGTTCAAGTTTTCTGCTATTTTAAGTATTTTTCATATGCCTTCATTAATGTGTTAAAGCAGTAATTTGACCTTTCAGGGAATACATTTATTACATTTTCTGACTTGTCTTGCCAGTTTGTTATGCATTTCTTTATTGCATCCCCACATGTGTGTACCACAAATACAAGTCAATACGAATCATGAATTATGACAGATTGTGGATAGAGTTCAGCCAATCAGGTAAAGCTCCTTCGTTTATGTCCAGCCCCCAAGGAAGATTTGCATGCAGCCTTGAAGATTTCCTTTCATGATGATCAGGAAGTACTGAATGTTTTATTCACAATCAGAATAACAATCTGTCATAATGCATGATTCGTATTGACTTGTATTTGTGGTACATACAGTACATGTGGGGCCAGGGGCGGACTGGGACTAGAATTCAGCCCTGGAAACTGACCCAGTCCGGCCACATGAAATGTCAACGGGGGGGCATCAGAAAAAAAGATACAGTACTATTAGTTATTAGAAATCAGCTGTTTATTAGGCTGCATTCATGCAGTTCAAGGGATAATTGTCACCCACTTCTTGCTCTTGCCCTGCACTTGTATGTGCCAGTTTAGCTGGTTCTTCCACCAACTCAACTGTCTGTCCCTCATCATGAACGCAGGAGGCTGGCTGTATATCTGAACTCGCGCCCTCATCATTCTCTTCATCATCTTGCACTTGTTCTGCTGATGATAGTGCTTGTAGCAGCGCAGCTGCCAAAAAGGTCTGTCAATTTGCGACATTTATATGCTTCACCTGCGAGTGACTTCACCTTTTTTTTCTCTTGCCTTCTCAGCCCCTCTTTTCGTTTTCTCTGATTTTTATCCATGTTTTTTCATTCTCCCTGTCTGCCGCGGCGTCTACCCTGCTGAAAAAAACAGCGTCGACCAACTTAGCTGGTCAGGCTGGTCAACCAACCTGACCAACTGAGTTGACCAGACTGGCTGGTTTAGAGGGGTTTTGGACACTTTAGCTGGCCAGGATGGTGCACCAGCTGAACCAGCTAAACCAGCTAAACCAGCTAAACCAGCCATCCTGGCCAGCTAAAAAAAACAGCATCCATCTATCACCAGTTTATGTTTAATAAATAATAGTATTAAATATACCATGCTGGAAGCTTACCAGGATGCCAGGTGACCAGCATACATTGTTTAAATACTGGTATGATTATTTAAACTAGAGAACATAAATATATTACAAAGATTCATTGTGTCATGTATTCTGGTATCTACAAAAATAAAGACATTGTATAGTGTTCATAACAGTATTTTATAAATAGCAATAAATAGTAGTTAATATAATAAAATACACAGTAACAATACAAATAACAACCAACCTGCAAATCAACCTCAAAATAAATATATTATCTAAAACAGGTGGATTTGATTTAAAATAAAAGTAATAAATAGAATTCAATATTTAAATGGTAACGAAAACAGTAACACTATGAGAAAAAGGCCGTCAGCGCAACTTAAATGATGACGTTAAACAATTTTTTTAAAGGGCCGGCCGGCCGTCAACGGCCCTTGAGGACCGGCCGTTCTGTGGTTCTCCAGATTCTACAGATGGCCAGTCCGCCCCTGTGTGGGGCATGTGTGTACCAGAAATACATGTCAATACGAATCATAAAAATGAAAAAAGCATGTCTGAAATGTTTGCACAATTTGTGTTTGTGTTCAACTTTATTAAGGGCTCTGAGTTTGTTGTGAATAAAACATTCAGTACTTCCTGATCATCATGAAAGCAGTGTTCCATGAAAGGAAATCTTCAAGGCTGCATGCAAATTTTCCTTGGGGGCTGGACATAAACGAAGGAGCTTTACCTGATTGGCTGAACTCTATCCACATATTTCACAAGATGTTCAGCCCCATTTCTAAACTCCTTAGATAAGCTCCGGAGAGAACAGAGACACATCAGAATCACAATCCTTCTTTCTTTCACTGATCGGATTAAACCAAAGGTGGCTTCCAGCCTGTAAGTATACTTTGCATTGAAACATCACCCTGACATTTGTATTTTAATATAGTTGTGTTCAATTCAGAGATCATATTAACTTACTCATTAAATATTATTTCCTTTTACAGATAATCTTGAATTATCCACAGCCATTTGGCAACGACAACAGACTACACCACAGCGTAACACATTCAGTCCTTTGAAGATGAAGTGTGCAAGGTAAGCTCCCGTGCTTTCATTCGCTTAAGTGTAGTATATCTTATTTTACTTGAGTACTAGATCTGAGTACTTCTGACTATAGGTCTTATACTAACCTCATCATGTCTTCTTCTTCAGAGCTCTCCATGCTTTTGGGAGTCATACCCAGCCCACTGCGATGCCAGCAGACCTTGCCGCATGTCTGAGTCTCGGCCATCGGGAACATATTTATCAGCTGCTGTCCAAGACTCCTCTGAATCCCGCACAGCGCCGTTATCAGCCGACCAACTCTCTTCCACGGAGCGGCCTTAACTCACCTCGTTCCTCTTCCCCCTTCGCTGCATCCTCCTCGCAGCCCCCCTCTCCTCTGTCCTCAGAGCCTCGGAGCTGCTTCCGCAGGGACAGCGGCTATCTGAATAAGAAGCGTGTGGTCTTCGCAGACGCCATTGGATTGGCTCTCACTGCTGTACGCCTATTTATCTCTGAGCCATCTTCCCTTTCCTCAGAAGTGCTGATAAAGCCCACCTTCGCTAGACTGCAAGGCCAACAGTCGCCATCAAACAATCTGCAGCGCTGCAAGTTGCGCCTGGGTTTCCCTCAGCCTCAGTTCGACCACAAAGCCTTCCTCACACGAGGCTTGCGTGTGCAGTTGGAGAGCTGCAACATCTCAGAGAACTCCTTGAGCGGCAAAGTGCTCGTCTCCCATGTCGGCATTGATGAGGCTGTACAAGTAAGGGTGACCTTTGACTCTTGGCGAAGCCACCATGACATCCCCTGCAAGTTCCTGCAGCAGCAGCGCTATGGGGGTTCTGATTTGAATTTGTGCGCCTTTGACCTAAGCTTGCCAAAGAACATAGATCCGAAGGAGAGAGCTGAGTTTTTTGTGTACTTCAAGGCTGGACCTGGCGCAACACTACACTGGGATAATAACCAGGGACAGAACTACAGGGTGTTCGTGGAAACGGATGGATCCAATGGTCACCAAGAGGATGCTTTCCGTGGTTACACCACACTTTCACAATATCGGCCGATGCACACGACCCTCAGTAATCAGAACTTTACTGATTCACAGAGGAAGACCATCGACATCCAAAACTATTTAGATTCACAGTCTCTTCAGAGGGGTTTATCAGGCAGAGTCAGAGAGTGGAGAGCAAAGGGTTCGGCCAGGCAGTGAGATCAGCCCAACCCCTCAACAGAACTATGACAACATGTAAATAATGCCACTATTTAATATTTATTTAGAGTTAAGTTTTTTAAGCATACATGGACTTTCTAAAATCTCCAGTGTTGGTTGGTCTAAAGCCAAGCATTTGATCACAAATAATTACTTGAAATGACCACAACCTCTTAACACCACATAACCTGATGAAGGGACAAAGGATAATAATGTTAAAATAAATATCTTTGTTCTATAAATGACATGAAATGTATGTTTGACTTTTGGTTCTAGACGTGAAACAAACAGCAGTTCCCTGATTGAAAGTCCCTAGTTTGACTCATCCTACCCAACTGTACCCATATTGTACCTGGGATTTCTTGTGTTCACCATGAAATAAGATCCTAAATATCTTACCATTTGCATTTTCAGTAACTGTGGCGGGGGCACGTGTTGCAATTACGTGCCAGCAACAATGAGTTGTGTCAAGAGGTTGTGGTCATACCCTGTTGAAATGTGAAGTATGCAATATTGTTCTGAATAAATCTATTTTTGTAAAGAAACTTTTCTTTCTCTTCTCTTCCTTGTGCAGAGGTTACATCCTAATCATCGAACACATGGCCTTTTATAAATACAGCTTATAGTTTACAATGTTATGTTTTGCAGTGTTGCATGAACACATAGTCCCTGATTAGGATATAAAGGCCATGGAGCGAAAGTAGAAAATGAACTACACTACATCCCGGCAAACTTTGTTTCTCTTGGCTCAAGCTCAAATGTCTGATGCGTCTTTTCATGTGCTACATGATTTGCATATAACATTCTGTTTTAGACACTCCCTTATCTGTTGTGAGAGCTGGATTAACATGCTGGGAACTGTTACTCTCAAACTGTTTGAGATTGGTATGGCAAATATTGAATAACCATGGCAGCATGAGCACCGGGACATACTTTAGAATAAAAGCGTGGGCCTGTGTTTACACGCCCAAGGGTGGAGTCATCATTGTTAGACACTGAGAAAGTTGGTCTGTCTGCTTTTTCTGTTCCTTTCTGTCTTAGTCATGTTTCTGTTAAACTTGTTTCTTTGTCCACAACCTTCTCTCCAGGGCTAGAGTCCGCCCTGGACCGCCCTTTGTGAACTAAAGTTGATGCACCATAAATGGAAGCTGGAATGTATCTGTAGCAGTTTTACACACCTTGTACCCTTGTACCCTTGTACCCTAAAACACTTTGTATTCACTCGGCTAGACAGTGTTGGGCTGGTGCAAGGTGTTAGATGTCCTCCCTCTACAATGAATGATAGGATAAACAGCCATGGAACTAGTCTATTTCTAGCATTTTGATGTAGCTTTGAGATAGTTGCATCCTTTACACTTTACCAAAGTATTGGTATCGACCCAATTAAAAAGTATTTTTTCGGTCTATAAAGTGAAACTGGAGAGTACTCTGAGATAGCATACTTTTGCTAAGGCTGTTTCCATACGTGTACAAAATAATGCATTGATATGGCCGGTGCTTCGGACTTGTGCCAAAGTGGCATGGGTTCTTCCTCTTCCAAAGTTTCAACCTTTCACCAAGTTAAATGATAATCGGAACAGTCGTTTTTTTAAAACTGAAAAACAAACTAACCGAACCAATTATGTTTTACTTTTTAATGTTAATAAAGCCACATCAAGATCAAGATCTTAATTAACACATGAGAAAAAGTTACAAACAATAACAAAAGAATCAGAAATCAGAATCAGAAACAGGTTTATTACCAGGTAGGTTTACACGTACGAGGAATTTGACAAAAGCATCACATTAATTAAATCATAAAATCATCTGGAGCAAAAGTTAAAGCAAAGTGGCTTTTTTATACTACTGCAAGAATGTTTGATGATTTATTTGATATATTTTGGATGCAAAATAACTATACAACTATACCTAATGTGTATGAACTGAAACGTAAGTAAAAGTAACAAATGCACTCTTAACAATATCTAAAAATACAAATAAAAAAGTAAAATAAATCCATTTTAAAGAAGTTATACCTTGCTGAATAAGGGTTATTAGTTCACTCATCCTCCCCCTTAAACACTTTTTTGGCATCATAGTGTTACCAATCATAACAACAGCAATGTACATACATATATGACCACACAAGGGGGAAAAACCCTTACAGTGCTGTTGCTGAGTGCTGTCTGCACAATAACCTGCGGACCGATCCAGTGTGCTGCAGCCACAGCTGTGAACACAAAGAGGGGGCTAACAGTACGAGCACACAGTGGTGGCTAGCTCAAAATAAGACACTAAGCTGCAGAGACTGAATTCACCTGTAAACATCAGTTGTGTGAAGCAACAAAGGACACATTATGGAAATAATTACAGCAATTACAAGTGTTGATCACCTTAAAAAGCAGTTGAAATTGATTGTTTTGTTACCCAACATGGCTTGAATTATTGCCAAAAATGGTAGCTCCTGGCAGGATTAGTACATGATTAAAAGGGAGCCTCCCTAACTGTACAATGGCAGCCATTGTATGGTTGATTTGCATATTGTAAACTAGGGCTGGGTCAAAACTCAATATGATGATTCACTGTCCTTCAATAGAACAAATGGAACCGTTTTATGATGAAATTATATTTCGAGGTGAAACATTACATTACTTAAATTGATGACAATAATAAACACATATTGATTCAAAATTACAAAGGTGATCTAAATATTTTTGTTGAAACAAAATAGCATCCAGATCTGAATGTGACTAACAAACTGGACCCTACTCGAAAGCTTCTGCAACCTTTATGTAAATTGTGCATGTAAACATAGTAGGTATATAAAACCTTCACTGCAAAACTGCTTTGTTCATTTCAAACTTAATAAAAACCAGGGCAGAAACATGTTATATGGTAGAATCAATTATTATCGGGATATGAAACTACTTTGCCAGCCCTACAAACTATTTGTTGATATTTTTGGAGAAACAGTTCCCTCAAAGTAGTTTGGTGAAATAATCTTTCAAATTTGCAAATTGTATTATTTCTATTTAGGTTTAATCATTTAGAAATAAACTACATGCTATCTGAAAAAGTGCCTTGTGTTCAAGATAAAGTTTACAAGGCATCAAAGTATCTAAATATGCATGTTTTTTAAAAGGGGAAAGGCTACTATATATCGACTAATTGTGTGAAATAACCATTTTTTTTTTAAATGCAGTTTTTTTTATATATATACACAACCCAATATAACATTTTGGGACTTTCACAAAACGCTGTCAAATGTTCTGAGTCTATGCTGTACTGTACTGCTGTTTTAATGCTACCAAAGGTAGACTATAGGAGTAGCATGAAGCTGCAGCGTCGGAGACTGCAGTTTCAGGACCCCAGTCCTGGGACCGCACTCCTCGGACCCTAGTTTTTCATGACACTGCCACCTAGCGAGTAGGAGACATGAATATGAATGACAACGCAACGAGTGTGAGTAATGTGAAGTGCTTTTAAAGTTTTATTTGTTTGACATTAATAGCCGCTTTCACACCAAGTATTTTGCCGTACTTAGTGCCAATCGAAATTGGTACTTTTTTCTCCCCAGGATAGTACCACCTCTCTAGCAGGCACTAAAAATGGGGGTAAAAGTTGTCGGAACTAAATACTCTTTTTGGTGTAAACGCAACATTTCAGGCACTAACGGAACTAAACGGGAAAAGTACGGGGAAAAGTACTCTGGTGTGAACGCGCCTAGTAACAATTCTGGTGTCTTGAAATGAAGTGTGATTAGCTAACGTTAACTATGATAGTCTTAAGGCAATACAAACAATCATCTGTTAGCTTATAATAGCTTCTAACTGTATTAAAGGCACGAAAAACAATTATTCGTTAGCTATTGCTTTCGGCAAAATAAACTGTTAGCATATTTGATTATTTGTTTAATCAAATCAAATCAAATCAAGATTTTAATGAAACCGTAGCGTGATTTTGGCAAGCCCAACTAGGTGTCCTACATTAATTGTTGATTTAATCACTAATTACAGTAATAGTGTGAGTAATGTGAATCGTGTTGTTTGTTTAAAGTTAACAACTATTCTGGTGTATTGAGTCATCTGTTAGCCTATGAAGACTCGCTGCAAAACCAACTGTTAGCCTTTTTGTTTATTTGTTTAATGAAACAGGGTGCTTTCAATGCGACCATCTTTATAAGGACATTGACACAGGCTACTGGGGAAGTGGACGGCGAGGAATCTTGGAGGGTTTTTACTCCGAAGAGGGCTTCCCGGGGTACTGCAGCTGGAGCTGTTTTCTGGTGGCTGAGGGAACAACAGACCCCGCCTCAAGAATCCTCAGTGTGGAAATTGTGCCCGTCTTCTAAATAAATAAAAATTGATTCTGCACTGAAATGCCTCTCGGTCAAACTGCATGTTTATCTTTGGCAGCCAGGTGCATAAACACACTAACAGTTGTTTTTGTTTTTGAGTAATCAAGCACCTCTTCAAAGACACATTTGATTTGATTTATTTCGAACGTGTAATACAAAAAAAAAATATTATAATCATGAAATGAAACAAGAGAATTATGATACTGTAGAAACGTAAGCAGTATCAAATTGATAAACTAAATATTATTGACTTACAAATTATGTATAAACAAATTATCTACCTAATTACACATCCCAAAAGGCGTGGGAAGGAGTTTACACGTATTTAATCCCACCCCTTCTCCCAAAAACTAAATTAACATTTTTGTTTTCTTTTAACAAAATATACATCTAAATGTATGTCTACATACAATATACATTTACAATTATAAATAGATTATATCATTCTTACTACAATATATATATATATTTACTTTGTATGTCAAATTTGATAAGACAAATATAAAAGACTATCTTTTTACATCTGACATACAAAATACATTTGTTCAGCGTCATACTATTGGACTATAGTGCCCTCTGTAGTTAAATACCATGTGATGTTATAATGAGACATCTACTGTAGATGAATGTGTCTTTATTATCAGGATAACTTCACAATTACATGCACAATTACAGTAATCAGCACAGGATAGGATAAAGGGATGGGTATACAGTAGGTCACCGTATACTTTACGTGAGAATGTATAAGGTCAATATTTCCAATAAGAAATCAACAATTTAACAAATGGATCACTTTTTCTGTTCAATAATAGCTGTGACAGCGGTCGCTGGGCAGATGCTCGTACTCAGGGTTCCGAGGCGATACGCCAAAACACTCGGCGGCCTTCCTGTCACACTCGCAGATGAACATCTCACAAGCGTTGTTGTCACCTAAGGATAATGAAACAGAGACCATTCTGAGTATCACAAGGCAGACAAACAGTCCTATAAAGTTAAAGTACCAGAGAGTAATTTTGGTCCTGTTGTTTTGGTGTACTCACTGCCGCAGGAGACCTTATTGTTTGGCTTGTCGCAGCTGTAGCTGTAGAACTCGGTGTACGGGTTGTTGATGATGAACCAGCACTCAGGGTGTTGCATTGCGTCGGTGTAACACAGATCGTGCACTTGGCAGCACCTATGGGTCAAGTTGAATATTAAACAGACTGGACAACGTTGTTTTTTTAATGTCTTGAGTATAACGCAGAGTGAATCTTGACCTATCCACATCATCCACAGGTGTGCCGGAGCCTCCCTTTCCACAGAAGCAGCCGTAGTCAGCGTAGTCGAAAAAAGGCCAGCTATCAGGCAGCACACACAGGATCATATTCCTGAACTGATTCAGAGCCCTGTGTTCCAGTGAGTGGGCTAAAACGCAACAAAAATACACAGTTTTACTCAACAACAAGCTCTATCTGTTCACAACCACCAAGATTAACAACTTTTGTGGAGTTGTACTCACCGACAGAGAGGCCTGCAGCCAAGAGAAAAATAACCTGGAAGGTATTCATCCTGTAAGTCACAGAGAAGCTCTCGCTCTTACATCAGTGCCTCTTTTTATATCAAGTATGAGACCTCAGGGGCTGCTCTGTCAGCTGTTTATATTACGCAGGGTCTCACGCCTTCAAACACGAAGGCAGGTACAATTCTCACACTCTCTAAACCTTGGACTCTGAGCCTGTGTTTGATGTTGTGTAATTAGAGTTGTTCGGCCTTGGGGTGAGGGATCCATGGGGAGCTTGAATAACCTTTAGGGATACTAGTTGTTGTTATCTTCAAGACTCATCCAAAGAAAAGTTTCTAAATAAATCTTGGTTAAAATAGGTGCTCTGTGAGAACGTTCTTGTCCCTTATGTAATACATTTGCTTTGCTTCCATGCTCTAAATGCAATGTTTAGCTTCATAAAACACTAAACAACTATAATTTCAATGGTCCGCCCTAAACATGGGGTCGTGGGTCGGAAAAGGTTTAGAAACCTGTAAATTGTGTTTCTAGGGTTAGGGTTAGGGTTAAAGGTCCCTAGGTCATATGCTTTTCTGGTTATTACCCGTCCCCTTGTGTGTTATGTAGCTTTGTCTGCATGTAAAAGGTCTGCAAAGTCACAAACCCTCAAAGTACACCCTTTAGCGAGTAAAACTCTAACACAGAAAAGACGTGTCTAAGCAACACACTCTCACTCCCTAAACGTCCAGGAGCGACGCTTGGTCAGGGTCCTATGGCGTGCAGTTGGGACGCGCCGAGGCTCCTTCAGCTTCATAAACGGACGCAAAGAGCTTTCAACTGATTGCAATGTATTCCCATCGGCGGCGGTATTTGACGCTCATGGAAGCACCGCATCGGTCCATGTCGGCGGCATTTAAAGGCAATGTGAGCGTCCATTCCCATTGGATAACGGAGGATTTTACACCCGGAAGTAACTATTCTCCTTACTGTCGATTGATTTTACAGTGATATCTGCACTACTCATCAACTCAAAAACACCAGATTATCCTTGTTAATTACACAACATTGATTGGTTTAAATTGTGTGCAATGCTTTTGTGTTTTTCCCCTTCGATTCGGAGAAACAAATATTTTTTCGGAGTTTAGGATGGCAGAAGACACTACCCAGAATCCTCAGCTATCGTTTGGGACTACACCATGTGCTTTGTTTGACAAACCCCGTGATTAGTTCTCAAGCTCTGTGATTGGATGTTGGAGTGGCAGTGCGCGAAGTTTACACCGCGTCAAACAGCACTTTGAAATGGAATGAAACCCATTGATGGCACACTATCCAAATCAAGACTCGAACGTGTCCTACCCCCCCCCCCACCCCCCCCTCCAACAGTGCAACACAATAAAACAGATACACAGAAAAATACAAAAAGAAAAATAGTAAAATAGTAAAAAGTTAAATAGTGCAATAAGAGTCTATATACAAGTGATTGGAATATGATATATTAGATAAATAATTTCTAAGTAGCAGCCAGATGAATGTTATGGATGTTGTTTCAAAGTTCAGGTGTTTAATAGTCTTCTGGCCTGTGGGATGAAGCTGTCCCTGAGTCTGGTGGTTTTAGTCCGGATGCTGCGGTACCGCCTGCCAGACGGCAGCAGACAGAACAGTTTGTGGCTGGGGTGATGGGGGTCTTTTATAATCCTGAGGGCTTTCTTTAACCCTTAGATGCACGAGTGACTGGACCCTACACTCTTCCATAAGTGGGTCTAAAAGGACCTGTATTAGAATAATATGTGTTTTTATGCAATTTTTGTCATTTTGGTTAAGAAAAATCTCTTGTATAATATTTAGTATTATATTTTGGTTCACACTAGAAATATTTTATATTTAATTTTTCACTATTTATAATTTTAGAAATGTCTTTTACATTTTGAAAAAAAACGTTTTCCCATAGGATTCCATAGAAAATGCATGCGGGTCATTTTTGACCCACTTATGGAAGCTTGGGGTAGTAATACAAAAACTACAATTTCTTAAAATGTAAATTAAAATGTTGAATGGCATGATATCCAAAACATGTTTGTTAGGAATAGCTGGAATATGAAATGATAAAAAAAATGTAATTACAAAGATACTTCAAGAAAACCACCTCACCGGGTCAAAAAAGACCCACTTATGGAAGCTTGGGGTACTAATACAAAAACTACAATTTCTTAAAATGTATTAAATGTAAATTTAAAATGTGAATGGCATGATATCCAAAACATGTTTTTTGAGGAATAGCTGGAATATGAAATGATAAAAACATGTAATTACAAAGATACTTCAAGAAAACCACCTCACCGGGTCAAAAAAGACCCACTTATGCATCTAAGGGTTAAGGTTAACCTGGTATTTTTACCGGTTTAGTTTACGACGGATATATTTTGTTATTGTTTTGATATTTGTAACACAAAAGCGATGTAAAAAACCCACAGCAACACAGAAAAGATGGTCTTAACATGACCCAGCGGTCTAGTAGTTAATAAAAAACAATAATATCAAAACAAAATATTACTACTAACTTTATTGTGAAATTAAACAGAACGGTAAAAGAATAGTTTCCGGTCTATTCTGAGGCCCGATCTCTGTAGATAAATAAAGAACTACGACAGATGTGTAATGTTTAATGCAGCCAAACCATTCATTACAATGCATTCATGTGATGACTTTCAAAGAGTAAAGCAAGCACTGCTGAATAAAGTATGATTTTATCTTTTACGAAACGTTTTTTTTTCATATGGAATGCAGTTGGAGGTCAACCAATCACAGAGCTTGAGAACTAATCACGGGGTTTGTCAAACAAAGCACATGGTGTAGTCCTAAACGATAGCTGAGGATTCTGGGTAGTGTAGTGTCTTCTACCATCCTAAACTCCGAAAAAATATTAGTTTTTCCGAATCGAAGGGGAAAAATACAAAAGCATTGCACATAATCTGGTGTTTTTGAGTTGATGAGTAGTGCAGATATCACTGTAAAATCAATCGACAGTAAGGAGAATAGTTACTTCCGGGTGTAAAATCCTCCGTTATCCAATGGGAATGGACGCTCACATTGCCTTTAAACAGCCGCCGACATAAACGGATGCGGTGCTTCCATGAGCGTCAAATACCGCCGCTGATGGGAATAGGTTAGTAGAAATGGCCAAAACATGGGACCTTTAGGCAAGGCAAGGCAAGTTTATTTATATAGCACTTTTCAGCACGCGACAATTCAAAGTGCTTTACAAAACAAATAAAAATACTTTTTGGGAATAAATACAGTAAAAACACATTATATTATGGCATTTTACAACAGGCATTAAAAAGCAAAGATAATAAAATAAACACCACAGTTATACAATATATGTTTAAATGGCATACTGTAGTGCGAATATGAGCAGCTCAATTAAAAGCAGCGGCAAAGAGATATGTTTTCAGTCTCGATTTAAAAATAGTAAGCGTTTCTGCAGACGTGCATGATTTGGGTAGTTTGTTCCAGAGTGTCGGGGCATAATAGCTAAATGCTGCCTCTCCATGTTTTGTTTTTACTCTCTGAACCGTTAGCAGACCCGTCCCAGAAGACCTGAGGCACCTTGATGGTTCGTAATTATGTAGGAGATCAGCAATATACTTTGGTCCTAAACCATGTAATGATTTAAAATCAATTCTTTGGCCGACTGGAAGCCAATGTAAAGATTTCAGAACCGGACTGATGTGATCCACTCTTTTAATGTTAGTGAGGACACGTGCAGCGGCGTTCTGAATCAGCTGCATCTTTCTGATGGATTTTTTTGTCAGCCCTGTGAATACACTATTGCAGTAGTCGAGTCTACTAAAGATAAAAGCATGGACAAGCTTTTCTAAGTCCTGTTGTGACATTAGTTTTGTAATCCTTGATATGACATATATTGTATGTTTTTCTTTGTCATTTTTCTTCTTAATCTTGGTGATGACAGTGTGTTTATTTTGGAACCAGATGCGTCAAAAGGGAGTGAGAATAAATATCACCAAACGAACAGTGAACTAAAAACGTTAAGGTGTCCATTAATGTACTATTACATTTCATATACTACAAACTGAAATTCAAATTTCTAACACGAAACCACGGAGAGCACCCAAACTGGACGGCACCATGGTAACGACCTGTCAAACACAAGGCTGCCGAACCCTAAAAGCATTTATTGCTTTATTGTCTATTGTACTCTCAATGGCACCATCATTTATATAATGAACATCATTATGTAGTTAAGAGGCTTTCAACAAGCGATTGTTAACAACGCTTACTGAGGTCATACCAATTAGGGTCATTTCCTCATAGACTCTCTACAATCAGACTACTGATCTAGAGAAGTTGCCCCCTGCTGGCTTTGAGAGAGAATACAGGTTTAGGGCACTTTCCCTTTGGTTTCACTTTTCAGACCCAGAGGGTGACTCTTGATTATAGTCCTTTTTATAAGTGGCCATCAGTAAACAGCATTTAAAATAAGAGATGCAGCTCAAACTGTGTTTATTAGAGGATAACATTTAAGAAACAAACAACAGTATTTGAGTACATTGAGGTAATGATGGATGTCTATAAGTAACCAAAGTCAAATGTATATACAGAAATGATGATACATGCATCCGTGAATCCATAAAGGTTATATTCATCATTTTCTAATTAGCCAAGTCTCCTCAGCAAGTTGATCTGTGACCTGTGAAAACTGACATTTTCATATTTCATGATGAAGCATGAATTCCTGATTTTCCAGTTGTTTGACAACGGTCGCTAGGCAGGTGCTCGTTCTCCGGGAGCCAGGGGCTTCTGCCAAAACACTCTGCGGCCTTCCTGTCGCACTCACAGATGAACATCTCACATTCGTCGTTGTTGCCTATGGACAATAAAGAAAAGGTTATCAAAAAGCCAACTAATAATTAAAAAAGTATTGAATTAAAAAAATGTATTCTCATTGACATTTAAATATTTCACCCCTGTTAGAATTACCCAAGACATTAACATATAGTATAGTGATACAATTGGTGGGGGAAGTCATATTTCTGCAGGTTTAATAGTAAATGTACAATTTTAAAAGATCACGTGAGAAGATAATTCACATTGTTTGGGTGTACTCACTGCCGCAGGAGACCTTCTTGTTGTCACAGCTGTAGCTGTATAATTCGATGAAGGGATTGTCAAGGATGGGCCAGCACTCAGAGTGTTGCATAGCATCGCTGTAACACTTGTCATGCACTTTACAGCACCTAAAAAATCATACGAGATGAAGTTGAAACAGACTGAACCAACTAGTTTTTTTTAAGTGTTGTCTGACTCAAAAGCAAAGTGAATAATGACCTGTCCAGATCATCCACAGGTGTGCCGGAGCCTCCCTTTCCACAGTAGCAACCGTAGTCAGCATAGTCGAAAATTGGAGAGCTATCGGCCATCACACACAGGATCATACTCCTGAACTGGTTCAAGGCCTTGTAGTCCATTGAGGTGACTGAAGTAAAACAAGCAGACCCCTTAATACTCAACTTCAAGAGACATCTATTCACAACCGCGAGATGAACAGCTTATGTCGAGTCGTACTCACCGACAGAGAGGCCGGCCGCCACGAGAAACAGAACCTGGAGGGTATTCATCCTGTCAGTCAGCAGGAAGGTCACAGAGTAACACTTACTCTTGCATTGGGCCTTCTTCGTATATATAGTAAATAGGGCCTGTCTCCTCCCCTAATCTACACAGGGGCCCTGCAATGTATGGACTCTAGGATTCCAACAGCATATGTTAAACCATGTACAATTCTCACACTTATTGAACCCTGACCCATGTTTGGTTTGTTGGTGATTTGTCTATACCAGGGTTCCACAGCATGGGCTTATGGATCCATGTGCAGGGCTGAACAGTAGATATGGCAATAGGAGTTTTAGTTATGTTTTAAAGGCTTGAAATATATCAACAGCTTCTCGTGAGGGCTGTGTTTTATAAAAGGTATTTGTGTCTCTACATGATGAGTCATTGGTAGGATGTGATTGGTACCGCACAATATAAAGGAATGTAAGGATTGGAGGTTGTCATTAACTTTAGTATTTTCCTCTCATGCCACTGTATAAAACCTATTAAAATGAACAGCTGAAACAATAAGCAGATTAACCGATTGACAATACATTTATTGAAAAACTATTTTGATAATTCTTCTGTATGCAAAACCAACAATTTTTTCTGCAACCATAGTAGGTCTTTAAGCAAGCAGACATACATATGCATTGTAACTTTGGTCTGTAGCTAATTATGATATAATGTCTCACTATTGTACATTTGATAAACATTAAAATAAACAGACTAAGCCTTAATTCAGGTTAACATTGGTTGCAGTTCTTTGTGCAAAATGAGTGGAAATGCATTGTTAAAATGAGCCCAGCCTCAACCAATGCCAAATCAAATATAAAATCCCTTATAGACATGCATTTATTAGTAATAATGATTATTCACAGGGGGCATTTCTCTGCATTGGGTACTTCTACTTTTAAGTATTTAAATACAGTTTTCATTATTAGATTTTAATACTTAACCCTTAGATGCATAAGTGGGTCTTTTTGGACCCGGTGAGGTGGTTTTCTTGAAGTATCTTTGTAATTACATTTTTTTATCATTTCATATTCCAGCTATTCCTCAAAAAACATGTTTTGGATATCATGCCATTCTAATTTTAAATTTACATTTTATACATTTTAAGAAATTGTAGTTTTTGTATTACTACCCCAAGCTTTAGTGGGTCTTTTTGGACCCGGTGAGGTGGTTTTCTTGAAGTATCTTTGTAATTAAAAAAATCTATCATTTCATATTCCAGCTATTCCTCAAAAAACATGTTTTGGATATCATGCCATTCACATTTTTAATTTACATTTTAAGAAGTTGTAGTTTTTGTATTAGTACCCCAAGCTTCCATAAGTGGGTCAATACTGACCCGCATGCATTTTCTATGGAATCCTATGGGAAAACGTTTTTTTTCAAAATGTAAAAGACATTTCTAAAATTATAAATAGTGAAAAATTAAATATAAAATATTTCTAGTGTGAACCAAAATATAATACTAAATATTATACAAGAGATTTTTCTTAACCAAAAGGACAAAAATTGCATAAAAACACATATTATTCTAATACGGGTCCTTTTAGACCCACTTATGGAAGAGTGTAGGGTCCAGTCACTCGTGCATCTAAGAGTTAAAAAAACTAGCATTCAAAGTTAATATCATTAGTTCAGGTTTTAGCTGTCTGAAATTTGGTATGTATATGATCTGCTTTAATGCTCTGGAAAATATAAATGTTTACAATGCTTAAATTCACATAACCACTCAAAAGCTGGTTGTAGCTTAAACATGGGGTCATAGGTCAGGAAATGTTGAGAAATCCTGTTCAAACATGTGTTAACATTATTATGTCACTGAATGTCTTATTTTACACAGCAAGCAGCATGTACCCTAATGTCCAATATAGAGATAATCATGGGACCGGTCTGCAAGTTGACATATGTACAGAGACGTGGGAAATCCCAGAGTTAAAAGCGTTGGTGATATGAACGCTGATGATATGATGAGCACTGGGATCAGAGTGTTCAGAAGTACATGTACTGTACAGAGGCAGGAGAAAGTGTACCAGCACATCTGTGAATTCACATCAGGTAATCTTCTATTTTTATTTATCAGCCACTATCACAATGTAACTTTAAATGTGGGACTGTATTTAGTATTAGTTGTAAGAATATATATACTTTTGTTTTGCTTGTAGAACATACTTCTGTTTATAGTCCACATTTTTATATATTAGTACAGTCATTTATTCAACAGTAAAGTATTTATTTTTACATCTCATTTAATGTTACTTAATGTTTTTGTCGCTGCATTTCACTTGCACCATTGTGCCACTTGCACTATTTCTTGCACTATTTTTGTCTTTTGATGTCTTAAGTAAATTGTATGTTGGACTGTCGGAGGAGCATGGGACTTAAGCTTTGTATTGCCAAACTATACTCTGAAGCTGAGTAAATATGACAATAAAGCATTTGAATATTGAATATTTTACGGTCTTTGATGGAGCATATTTTTTCTACTCAATTAATGGACTCTCCTTGAATCAACGTTGGTATGAATATTTAAAAAGAAAGACCACACTTTCCCTTAAAAATGTATTTTATAGGTATTTATTCTGCTAAAATGTTAACCATTCCAAAATAAGGGAATGTTCTTATTTTTTTAAACTGTACTAACAATATGGATGTATTTTTGAGAGGCCAAGCATAATCGACTTCAAATTATAACCAAACGAGGACTGATTGATGCCACCTGTGTCACTAATTCCAGAGGTCTTCTCTGATTGGCCACAATCATCAGGTAACAGGAAGTAAAAGGGTGATCTGTTTGTCACTCTGCAACAAAAAATACTGTTTTTTTGTATATATATATATTATATATATATATATATATATATATATATATATATATATATATATATACAAGCCAATATAACATTTTGGGACTTTTACAGAAAGATGTCAAACGTTCTGAGTCTATGCTGTACTGTACTGCTGTTTAAATGCTGAAAACCAAAGGTAGACTATAGTGCCCTAAATACCATGTGATGTTATAATGAGAGATCCAGATGAATGTGTCTTTATTTTTAGGATATCCTTACAATTGCATACACAATTACAGTAATCAGCAAAGGTTGGGATAAATGGATTGGTATACATCACCATATACTTTACGTGAAAATGTATAAGGTGAATATTTATAGTAAGAAATCAACAAATTAACAAATGGATCACTTTTTCTGTTCAGTGACAGCGGTCGTTGGGCAGGTGCTCATGCTCAGGGTTCCAAGGCGATACGCGAAAACACTCGGCGGCCTTCCTGTCGCACTCGCAGATGAATATCTCACATTCGTTGTTGTCGCCTAAGGATAATGAAACAGAGAGCATTCTGAGTATCACAAGGCAGACAAACAGTCTAAGGTTAAAGTACAAGAGAGTCATTTCATTCTTGTTGTTTTGGTGTACTCACTGCCGCAGGAGACCTTATTGTTTGGCTCGTCGCAGCTGTAGCTGTAGAACTCGGAGTACGGGTTATCGACGATGGCCCAGCACTCAGGGTGTTGCATTGCGTCGTTGTAACACAGATCGTGCACTTGGCAGCACCTATGGGTCAAGTTGAATATTAAACAGACTGGACAACGTAGTTTTTTCAATATCTTGACTATACCACAGAGTGAATCGTGACCTATCGAGATCATCCACAGGTGTGCCGGAGCCTCCCTTTCCACAGAAGCAGCCGTAGTCAGCGTAGTCGAAAATAGGCCAGCTATCAGGCAGCACACACAGGATCATATTCCTGAACTGATTCAGAGCCCTGTAGTCCAGTGAGTGGGCTGAATCGTAACAAAAAGACACAGTTTTACTCAACTACAAGCTCTATCTGTTCACAACCACCAAGATGAACAACTTTTGTGGAGTTGTACTCACCAACAGAGAGGCCTGCAGCCAAGATAAACAGAACCTGGAAGGTATTCATCCTGTAAGTCACAGATAAACTCTCGCTCTTACATCAGTGCCTCTTTTTATATCAAGTATGGGACCTCGGGGGCTGCTCTGTCAGCTGTTTATATTACGCAGGGTCTCACGCCTTCAAACACGAAGGCAGGTAAAATTCTCACACCCTCTAAACCTTGGACTCTGAGCCTGTGTTATGTAACTAGAGTTGCTCGGCCTTGGGGTGAGGGATCCATGGGGAGCTTGTATAACCTACAGTATAGGGATGCTAGTTGTTGTGATCTTCAAGACTCATTCAAAAAAAGGTTTCTAAATACATCTTGGTTGAAAAATGTGCTCTTTGAGAACGTTCTTGTCCCTTATGTAATATATTTGCTCTGCCTCCATGCTTTAAATCAATGCTTTGCTTCATAAAACACTTGACAACTTTAATTTCAACTTCCGCCCTAAACATGGGGTCGTGGGTCGGAAAAGGTTTAGAAATCTGTAAATTGTGTTTCTAGGGTTAGGGTTAGGGTTAGGGTTAACATATATTGTATGTTTTGCTTTGTCATTTTTCTTCTTAATCTTGGTGATAACAGTGTGTTTATTTTGGAACCAGATGCGTCAAAAGGGAGTGAGAATAAATATCACCAAACGAACAGTGAACTAAAAACGTTAAGGTGTCCATTAATGTACTATTACATTTCATATACTACAAACTGAAATTCAAATTTCTAACACGAAACCACGGAGAGCACCCAAACTGGACGGCACCATGGTAACGACCTGTCAAACACAAGGCTGCCGAACCCTAAAAGCATTTATTGCTTTATTGTCTATTGTACTCTCAATGGCACCATCATTTATATAATGAACATCATTATGTAGTTAAGAGGCTTTCAACAAGCGATTGTTAACAACGCTTACTGAGGTCATACCAATTAGGGTCATTTCCTCATAGACTCTCTACAATCAGACTACTGATCTAGAGAAGTTGCCCCCTGCTGGCTTTGAGAGAGAATACACTTTCCCTTTGGTTTCACTTTTCAGACCCAGAGGGTGACTCTTGATTATAGTCCTTTTTATAAGTGGCCATCAGTAAACAGCATTTAAAATAAGAGATGCAGCTCAAACTGTGTTTATTAGAGGATAACTTTACATTTAAGAAACAAACAACAGCATTTCAGTACATTGAGGTAATGATGGATGTCTATAAGTAACCAAAGTCAAATGTATATACAGAAATCATGATACATGCATCTGTGAATGCATAAAGGTTATATTCATCATTTTCTAATTAGCTAAGTCTCCTCAGCAAGTTGATCTGTGACCTGTGAAAACTGAAATGTTGATATTTCATGATGAAGCATGAATTCCTGATTTTCCATTTTTTTTTTTTTTTAAATGTATTTATTGTACAGGCTACAGACACAAAACATGGACATTACAATAACAAAATGAGACATTCCTATCTCAGACAAAAAAACTAAATAAAAAACAAACAGAAAAAAATAAAATACAGTCAGTTTGTCACTTCAACATTTCATAAACAAAAAAATAGGTTGACAGTCCAATATCATCAAAAGCATTTATTATTCCTTTTTATCCCACTCTGCGCTAGAGCTGATTGTTTCCCATTTCATGGTGTGTTGACCCACCCTTTGATTCTTTGTGGCAATCATCCTTTCCAAAATAAATTGTGTTTTGAATCTACTTTTCACACACCTTAAATTCAGATTGTTCCTTGATTGAGCTTTAAAAATAAGTATTTTTGCCAGAAGAATAATTGTATTCATCAACTGTGTATTATCCTCATCCAAAAGCCAAAACAAAAGACCAAAGGGAGTAAATACAAAATCAATATAAAGTGTCTTAAGCCAATTTTGAATCTCAGTCCACAGTCTTGCAACGTATGGACAATAAAAAAATAAATGCATCTGGTCTTCCTCTTCCTCCTCACAGAATCTACAAAGTGGTGACGGTTCGATATTAAAAGTGTTGAGTTGTTTTTTTGTAGCGATAATCTTGTAAAAGATCTTCAGTTGGAAGATTCTTGAATAGGAATCAATTGTTGTTTTGTATCAGACAATATTGTATCAGAATATTAAATTCTTCTTCCCAGAAAGAACAGACCGCATGAGGAAAAGCAGTAAGGCCCTTGCTCTGTAAACAGTGATTATAAATTATTTTATTTATTTTCATTTTTGATAGCCATTTCTGACTTCTTGTATGAGGTGTACAGACCTGTTGTCGGTTTCCATCTTTTTTTTATTTACGTTTCCAGTTAGTTGGAATAGCTGAAAGCAGCTGGTTAAAGTGAAGGAAATCACATATCTGACCATACATACAGCGAAAACACTGATATGAAATTAAATTACCTGTGCTATCTAGTAAATCATTCATGAAAATAATTCCTTTTCTCAGGAGACTTTCCCATAATAGTGGTTTTCCATCTATTAAAACTTCTCAGTTCAACCATATTAATTGATTTTGGATTTCTTCTGGTGTATGGGGGGTAATACTGGAAACTCAACCAAGCCTTCAATGCATCTTTAACAAATGGTGAGATTTCTACTAATATTTCTTTGAATAACCATTCACAGTGGTGAGATTCTAATTGGAAAAAGGGAAACAGTTTACAGTCAAAAAAGAAGTGCCCTGAAAATAAGTTCTGACTTGTTCTCCAAAGACTATTATGATACATCTTATTAATCCAAGATGCTTTTAAGGATGAATTCATTGCTGCCAAATGTTTTAAGTTTAGTCCACCATTTTCAAGTGTATTATATATGTATTGCCTTTTTATCTTGTCAGGCTTATTATTCCAGATGAACTTAAACATTCGTTGTTCAAAGCTTTTAAAGAAGGGGGAGGGAAGTGAAATTAAGAGATAAACAAACTGTGGAATCACAAGAGCATTAATTAATGTAATCTTTCCCTGTAATGAGAGAGCTTTCCCTTTCCAAGGTTGAATTATTTTCTCAGTTTTCTGCATTTTTCGCTCAAAATTGACCTTAACTAGATCTTTTTGATTTTCTGGAATATGAATTCCCAGAACATTTACTGAACCATTACACCATTTGACTGGAGCTGAGCATTGTAGCTTGAAATCTGTGCCTCTTAATGTTCCTATTCTCATAATACAGCATTTACAGTATCAAAGTTAGGCCTTAGCCCAGCTAATTTTGAAAAGTTATTTAAATCAACTATGAGGGCATCTAATGCAGTTTTTTCAGGCTGTAGAAAGAAAGTTGCATCATCTGCATATAATGTCACTTTTGTTTCAATACCATTTGATCTTAAGCCTGTTATACATGAATTGTTTATAATTCTGATAGCAAGAATTTCAATGCATAATAGAAACAGATATGGAGACAGTAGACACCCTTGACGTATGCCTCTGGACAGGCTGAAGCTTTTTGATAAATATCCATTATTAACTATTTTACTGGTAGGTTATAAAACCTTCACCCACTGTATAATGGTTTCCCCAAAATTAAAGAATTTATATATTTTTTGAATGAAATCCCATTTTACTGTATCAAAGGCTTTTTCAAAGTCAGCAATAAATAAAAGCCCTGGCTTTCCATCCTCTTCATGATTATCTATCATATCAAGCAGATGGTGAATATTATCTCCAATAAAACGCCCTTTTATAAAACCTGTTTGATCATGTTTTATTATATTCCCAATAACTATTTTGATTCTCCGTGCAATACATTTGGACAGAATGCGGGTATCGCAACAAAGTAAAGTCAGTGGTCTCCAATGCTTCATATGAACAGGATTCTTGTAATGCCCCTCTGGGTCTTGCTTCAGTAACAATGTGATGATGCCTTCTTTCTGTGTATCTGATAATATTCCTTGTGTAAAGGAGTAGTTAAAGGATGCCAATAGAGGTTTTTTAATGTCTGTGTAGAAGGTTTTATAAACTTCAACAGGTATACCGTCAATCCCTGGTGATTTACCAGGAGCGAAGGAATTAATAGCATCCAGTAACTCTTCTTCTAAAATGTTTCCTTCACAACTTAGTTGCTGATCTACTGACAGTATCTGATCATAATTCTTTTGAAAAAATAACTCAATATTGGATCCTACAAGAGACTCTGGAGCCAGAGCATATAAGGTTTTAAAATAATCCACCTCTTCAGCTAATATTTCCTGTGGAGATGTAAGTAGAATACCATTTGGAGTATACAGGCTCATAAGGTTTTTTTTGGCAGAATTTCTTTGGTTGAGTCTTAAAAAACGTTTCCCCTTTTTCCATCCATGTGGCACGGGATCTATAAATTATACCATTCACACGCTCAGAGTATAAATGTTCCAGTTCAAGTTGTTTATTTTTTATCAAATAAGTTGTTTCTATGCATAACGATTGCTTTTCATCCAACGTTTTAGTCAATTCATTTACCTCCTCTATTAGACTCTTCTCCTTTATCAAATATTGTTTTTGTTTCCATGACCCCATCTTAACAGCGTGTCCTCTAAAAACACACTTAAAGGCTTCCCAGACGTTGTGAGGGTCCGATGAATTATTATTATTAATTTGAAAAAAATCTTTAATTAGTTCTTTCGTTTTTTCAATAAAATCTGTATCATGTAAAAGTGATAGGTTGAATTTCCAATACCCCCGCCCTCTGGGATATTCTGCTGTAATAATTTGCAGTGTTACGATGGCATGGTCAGATCTTAATCGGTCACCAATACTACATTTTAATACTTTGTGAACCAGGGAAAAGGTGATAAGAAAGTAGTCAATGCGACTAGCTTGTTGTTCCCTACGCCATGTATACCTGCTTGAATTTGGATTTGTTTGTCTCCAAATATCCACTAAATCTAAGGATGCCTTGAGTTGTTGGATTTCATTTAAGGCCTGTGGGTGATTATTAAAAGAATGAGTACCTGTACGATCCTTACTTATGTTTAACACCGTATAACTTTATGGATCTACTCAAAAAAGTTTGGATTATCATCATTTGGTCCATAGATATTAATGATATTTACGTGCAAGTCATCCACTGTCACCTCTAACATAATCCACCTTCCATCCTCATCAATTTGTACAGAATGAACTAAGTGTTGAATTTCTTTTTTAAACATAATCATAACACCCCTACTATTAGTAGTGCCATGACTGAAATACATATCTCCACCCCGTTCTGATTTCCATTTCAACTCGTTTTCCAAATTAGAATGCGTTTCCTGCACACAAATAATTTGAATATTGTTTTTATCTTTCAACCAAGTAAAAACTTAATATATTTTAGAGACATTAGCCAAGCCGTTACAGTTATAAGTTGCAATCGTAGTACTAGTACATGTCATGTATCATCTAAAATGAGTGATATAACTTCATCAACCTTTTTTAAATACTTGATAAGGACCCAAACTCTAAACCTAAAAAACATCTAACACCTACTGACGTACACATAAATCACAAAAACAATATAACATGCCTTTATTTCATTTGCCATTTTCATTTTTGCGGTCACAACCCCTTTCAATGTACTTTCTACATATATATATCGAAGAAGAAGAAGATGGGCTTAAACAAAGAGAATAATCCAAACATTTTCCAGTTGTTTGTTGTCACTGACAACGGTCGCTAGGAAGGTGCTCGTTCTCCGGGAGCCAGGGGCTTCTGCCAAAACACTCTGCGGCCTTCCTGTCGCACTCACAGATGAACATCTCACATTCGTCGTTGTTGCCTATGGACAATAAAGAAAAGGTTATCAAAAAGCCAACTAATAATTAAAAAAGTATTGAATTAAAAAAATGTATTCTCATTGACATTTAAATATGTCACCCCTGTTAGAATTACCCAAGAAATTAACATATAGTATAGTGATACAATTGGTGGGGGAAGTCATATTTCTGCAGGTTTAATAGTAAATGTACAATTTTAAAAGATCACGTGAGAAGATAATTCACATTGTTTGGGTGTACTCACTGCCGCAGGAGACCTTCTTGTTGTCACAGCTGTAGCTGTATAATTCGATGAAGGGATTGTCAAGGATGGGCCAGCACTCAGGGTGTTGCCTAGCATCTCTGTAACACTTGTCATGCACTTTACAGCACCTAAAAAATCATACGAGATGAAGTTGAAACAGACTGAACAAAACTAGTCTTTTTTAAGTGTTGTCTGACTCAAAAGCAAAGTGAATAATGACCTGTCCAGATCATCCACAGGTGTGCCGGAGCCTCCCTTTCCACAGTAGCAACCGTAGTCAGCGTAGTCGAAAATTGGAGAGCTATCGGGCATCACACACAGGATCATCCTTCTGAACTGGTTCAAGGCCTTGTAGTCCATTGAGGTGACTGAAGTAAAACAAGCAGACCCCTTAATACTCAACTTCAAGAGACATCTATTCACAACCACGAGATGAACAGCTTATGTCGAGTCGTACTCACCGACAGAGAGGCCGGCCGCCACGAGAAACAGAACCTGGAGGGTATTCATCCTGTCAGTCAGCAGGAAGGTCACAGAGTAACACTTACTCTTGCATTGGGCCTTCTTCGTATATATATAGTAAATAGGGCCTGTCTCCTCCCCTAATCTACACAGCATATGTTAAAGCATGTACAATTCTCACACTTATTGAACCCTGACCCATGTTTGGTTTGTTGGTGATTTGTCTATACTAGAGTTCCTCAGCATGGGCTTATGGATCCATGTGCAGGGCTGAACAGTAGATATGGCAATAGGAGTTTTAGTTATGTTTTAAAGGCTTGAAATATATCAACAGCTTCTCGTGAGGGCTGTGTTTTATAAAAGGTATTTGTGTCTCTACATGATGAGTCATTGGTAGGATGTGACTGGTACTCACAATATAAAGGAATGTAAGGATTGGAGGTTGTCATTAACTTTAGTATTTTCCTCTCATGCCACTGTATAAAACCTATTAAAATGAACAGCTGAAACAATAAGCAGATTAACTGATTGACAATACATTTATTGAAAAACTATTTTGATAATTCTTCTGTATGCAAAACCAACAATTTTTTCGGCAATTTTTTTCGGCAATTTTTTCTTAACATGTGTTAACATTATTATGTCACTGAATGTCTTATTTTACACAGCAAGCAGCATGTACCCCGGACCTAATGTCCAATATAGAGATAATCATGGGACCGGTCTGCAAGTTGACATATGTACAGAGACGTGGGAAATCCCAGAGTTAAAAGCGTTGGTGATATGAACGCTGATGATATGATGAGCACTGGGATCAGAGTGTTCAGAAGTACATGTACTGTACAGAGGCAGGAGAAAGTGTCCCAGCACATCTGTGAATTCACATTAGGTAATCTTCTATTTTTATTTATCAGCCACAATCACAATGAAACTTTAAATCTGGGACTGTACTGAACATTTTGTTTATAGTCCACATTTTTATATATTAGTAGTCATTTATTCAACAGTAAAGTATTTATTTTTACATCTCATGTAATGTTACTTAATGTTTACCATTGTGCCACTTGCACTATTTCTTGCACTATTTTTTTCTTTTGATGTCTTAAGTAAATTGTATGTTGGACTGTCGGAGGAGCATGGGACTTAAAGGTCCAATGTCATGGCCATTTCTACTGATCATAATTCCATTGTTGAGGTATACTAAAATAGATTTATATTGTGCAATTTTCCAAACTCACATTGGTTTCTCATACAGCATCTCTGTAAAGTATGTGTATTCACCAGCTATTCACTCTCTGTCCTAAACGGCTTGTTGGAGCTCCTGCCCCCACCCTCCCTGTCAGCCCAGTGTGCTCTGATTGGTCGGGACGTTGCGAGGCTCGCTGCTCAGTGAGCTGGCTTACTGGTGTGGTTTCCGGGTCGGCGATACAGCGAGACACAGCGAAACTCATCCTGAGCACACACAAACACTCACAGCCGAAGTAAAAACAATAAGTGTGGCTTGATATTGAGTTAGAAAAAGGTTTATAAACGCTGTGAGAATGGGTCTGCGGAGAGCATTTCTCCCAACTCGTCTATTACCAACCAGGGAGCTATATGCAAGTCAATGGGACTCCCTGTTAGTTGAACATTTACGCTAAAGGTCCTGATGTGTGAGGAGCTCCGCGGATTGGTCCATTTTGGTTCCGGGAACCGCATGACGTCATGCGGTTCCCGGAAGAAACAAATGGAAAAAGATAAATCTACAACAAGGCGTTCTGGGGCAGCATAGACAGGTATTTTTTGTGTTAGAGTTTTACTCGCTACAGGGTGTACTTTGAGGGTTTGTGACTCTGCAGACCGTTTACATGCAGAAAAACCTTCATAACACACAAGGGGACGGGTAATAACCGGAAAAGCATGACATGGGACCTTTAAGCTTTGTATTGCCAAACTACTCTGAAGCCGAGTAAATATGACAATAAAGCATTTGAATATTGAATATTTTACGGTCTTTAATGGAGCATATTTTCTCTACTCAATTAATGGACTCTCCTTGAATCAACGTTGGTATGAATATTTAAAAAGAAAGACCACACACTAAATATGTATTTTATAGGTATTTATTCTGCTAAAATGTTAACCATTCCAAAATAAGGGAATGTTTTTTTTTTTTTAAACTGTACTAACAACATGGATGTATTTTTGAGAGGCCAAGCATAATCGACTTCAAATGATAACCAAACGAGGACTGATTGATGCCACCTGTGTCACTAATTCCAGAGGTCTTCCCTGATTGGCCACAATCATCAGGTAACAGGAAGTAAAAGGGTGATCTGTTTGTCACTCTGCAACAAAATTGAGGCAGGCCTGTGTGTTGAGAAGTTTTTACCTGAGCATTAGTTTGCAGAGGACTCTAGGCGATACACCTACTGAAAGTGTTTTGTTTTTTTTATCGCCATTTTAACTTTATATCGGCAACTGCGTTATGATCCAATCCCCACTCACTCTAGCAATAAACTCAAGCACCACATGGTGTTTTAGTACTTTATTGCCAGGCATATTTCAAATAAATGCTTTAAGTGGCAACAACTTGATTTTAATGTTCAACTTATTGGCAAAAAGCTGCTTTGAACATCATTCCAAAGGATTCAATTACATCTTCATAATGACCATTTAGTATAGTGTGTGTTTTCATTGTCTTATCTTTTTATTTCAGTTACTTGTTTTAATTTTGAGCACTTGGGGATAATGCCATTTGTTATTGTTACGTTCCCTCCAAAAATCTAGGGGTACGAAGGGGAGTAACAAAACACAGAACGACCAGCACGAGAAAAAAGAGAGGAAACTGATCTCTGAAGTCACCAAAATGAGATTTAATCCACCAATGATAGACAAACAGGTCCCACACAAAGACGAAAACGCCGTGCTGCACCCGTGCAGCCAGAGGAGAAAGAGAGAGGCCACTGCAGCCTTCCTCAGGTCCTTTAAGGAGGCCCTGATTGGGAATTTGGAGCACCTGGGGAGAGGCTGCACCTGGGGACAATCAGGCTGCACCTGGGGAATCAGAGGGAGAGAGAGAAAGACACACAAACACTACGGCACTTAACAGTTATGGATGATGTGTGTTAAAAAACCTTGGTCTAGTCCATCATAAAAGTGGACTGAATAAAAAAAAAAACATGACCTTCTTCACATGGAACTGTCTGACATTTACTTAATTCTAATGTATACTTTATTTGTAATCATGACTTATGTAGAGATCTTTTAACCTAAATAGCTACTGCAACATTCAAAAACACAACAAACTGCTTATGAATTTGTAACGGAATATTTAATACAAAAGTGTACACATCAGCTTGGTTCAAAGGGTAAGCAACACTTTTTTTAAATGATATAAAATGATTTCAAAACCTAGCATTTGAAATGAATAAATGATCACCATGTTAGATCTAAAACAAAAGCAGAAGTAACAAAAACAAAGGAGATTGTCAGTCTGTACTGGCCTGTTTATGATACATTGATGCAAATAGATGCTACAAATCCTATCTTAAACTTAAAACACATTCAGGACCTTCAAACTTCATGGAATACATGAACATTACAAACATGTTAACTATAAAAAAATAATTATTAACTTCACTAACGGTACGACTGTCACATGATCCAATGCTGGTCCCTTCATCAAGTCTTTTTTCTGCTATTTCTAATAATATATCTTTGTTTTCCTGTTTTATATGTCTGTTTCATCACATTCTGAAACAGTTTCAAAGCTGTTTTGACAATTGATTTCTGGAATGCACTTTTATAAAATGAATGAAAATGATGTTTTTTAGTGTAAATACCACTAAATAAATTAAAAAGGGTTAGCATTCTTCTTCTGATACATCGTTGTCCTGCAAGTGTACATACACTGTATGCATATTCTACATTAGAAATGAACCTTCTTGTAGTGGAAAGCTAATTTTAAAAATTAAAAAAGTGTTACGTTTTGGTCAAAAACTAACTTACCACCGCAAGTCAAAAACAAACCACATCATCAAAAAAAACTTCACAAATGATAGAAAATATCTACTGTGTGCTTTATGATTAACACTGAACAAAACGCTATGATAAACAGTGGAAAACTACTGCAGTGCATTTAATTCTTCTTTGACCTCGACATTCACATTCTTGATTGTACCTTTGTTGTCTCAATCATGGGAAACGCTACAGCGACCTCGTGTAATTGAGGACTTTCAGTCACATTTTCGAACCATTACCACTCCTCCTCGTGTCATTTCTGTCTCTTTTTACCACAAACAACCTTTCTCTAAATGTCTTATAGCAAAAATGAAACCTAGAGAGGGTTATCAGTGAACAAATATAGGCAGATTATGTAGGATTGGAGTGTACAATAACGGAGTGTACAAAATATCATCTCAGAGCTGTTAGCCTCTTATTAGCTAAATGGGAGATTCTCATCCAGGTGATAAGTCCTGGATTTCCCTGCTCTCTATGTTACGGAGCTAATATTTTGTACACTCTTTAAAAGGATTTGAAGCGCGGTCAGATGGGCTTGTATAATAAGGTGGTGACGTATTTCTTCTTGTAGCGATGTGTCGCACTGAGCACCATCACTCCATCCTGTAACATAAGCAGACAAGGGAAAATTCAAACAATGCAATGCATACATTTACGACAGACAAATACGGGAAGAGTGGTATCAATCATACTATGTGCAGAGCTGTAAACCACATAAATAAGTGGGAGGAACACTAACGAGCACTCACTTATCTCAACAACAAGGAGGAAAATGAATATCCAACGCTACTAGATTCTAGTGTGGTCGGTTACAAGTATTACATATATGCATGTTTGTTTTTTTCCCCCATGAAGTCTGACAGTGATGTTGGTATTTATATCCTTACGTGCATGTTCTGTTTGTTTTTCCTGACACAATGTGGAAAAAAGGGTAATTTATCTGTCCTTCATCTCGTTATCGTTATCATTCTTGAAATTCCGTAGATACAATCTGCTGTGTAAGCAAACAGCTGCAGCCGCTCACAGTTTCCAATCCAATCAGCAAAGCTGAGTCACCGCAGAAGGTTGTGCCACATTTGAACATAATGC